GCCAAATTGGTTCTATTTGCATGTTGTAACATGTCAAAATTAAACTTTATTCTTTAACTTGTGTCAGAACTGTATCTAATAACAAAACGTGGAATTGTCAATCTCAGGCCATTTTATTTATTTTTTAGATTGTTTCTAAATGGAAGACTTTGCACTTTTGGGAATATTGAGTAAAAGTAACAAGACTGAGTTTTTAGCATCTTTTTAGCAAATACATGAAAAGTAGCCACATAGCATCAATGCCAATAGCATGAGAACACTGAGCGCCTTCAGGTGGTTTGATGACACTTTAAAAAAAAAAAAATTTAAGAAATGATTTAGGTTACAGGGCTGAACATTCTCAGTAATACTAACAATCTGATCAAAAATACAGAAAATGTGAGTGACAGAAATTACTTTTGGTCTAGCCATGGCCTTCAGAAGACTTAAATGATGCTACTTCCTTCTGATCATGTGCTGAAGTGTAAAGTTAGAGAGTGGGGATGGGCTAAAATACTAGTTTTTCAGTGTTGTAGGTAGTTTTTACCTAGAATGTATCTACACAATCCAGTTAGTGCAGGGCACTTTGTTAATAATGTATTACAGATTCATACAAATATGCATGTAATGGATGGAAAAGGCACCAATTTGGCAGAATGGCATTGATAGTTTTATCTACAGACGCCGTGGATTGCTTTTCCACCATGGTGAACAATCATGTTTCTACATTAGCCCAGAAGGGACAAACCAAAGTTTTCCCTTCCACTTGGAAGGGGAGGGTGTCACGACCTCAGACACAATTCTGGTGGACTCAAATGCACGACTCAGGGACTGACGAAGATGTACAAAAAGGGGTATTTATTGTGCAATAAACGGCGCTCACAAGGAAAAACAAAAGCTGATGAGGAGATCAAAACATGAAAAAACTCTGGAGCTCTGGCTGGAACGTATGACAATACTTTTCACAAACTGAACAAGACGAACTGACAAAGACAAAGGGAGACAAGGACTGTTTATGATTTATACCAGGTGTAAGTGAAAACAGGTGAAAACAATCAGGGGCGGGGCAGACAATTACAAAGGAGAGAAAATCACACAAAGGGAGGAAGTCAGGGTCTGAAATGTGAGGGAAAAGGTGAGTACAAAATAAAACAGGAAGGACTAAACATGAAACACTAAACATGACACAACAGAGGGCAGGGGAGCTGTGATCTGCAATTACACTACTAGATGGCACTAAACTGGACATTTTAGTATTAACTCACCTTTGTCTGGTATAAGCACCTGCTATACACCTTATAAATGAAAATGAACAACAGTGTAACAGAGTGAGTAAGATTAATAATCTCTGAACTGTCAAATAAGTAAATAATTAATGTGTCATTGATAGTTAACTTACCTCTGGTACAGACATCTACAGTTTAGTTTAGAAACAATACAAATCCAACGTGGCAGCTTGTTGCCATTATCTTCATTTCAATGACCCTGCTGATGTGTGAGAAGGTTCTAATCCTGCAGCAAACAGGGCTGTGAGTCCTAATCAGAGGTGCTGTCATCCGCCCACATCTGGAGCTCAGGAGCACGCAGCCAGAACCTCCTGGATCCGAGGTCTGAAGTGGACGGAGCTGACTCCCTGTGGATCTCTTCCCAGCTCCTGTTTGAGGACGATTCGAGTAGATAAAATATATATGAGAATATAGAGTATATATGAATATATAAAGTATATATGAGAATATAGAGTATATATGAATATATAAAGTATATATGAGAATATAGAGTATATATAAATATATAAAGTATATATGAGAATATAGAGTATATATACATATATAAAGTATATATGTATATATAAAGTATATATGAGAATATAGAGTATATATAAATATATAAAGTATATATGAGAATATAGAGTATATATGAATATATAAAGTATATATGAGAATATAGTATATATAATATATAAAGTATATTTGAGAATAGAGAGTATATATGAATATATAAAGTATATATGAATATATAAAGTATATATGAGAATATAGTATATATAAATATATAAAGTATATTTGAGAATAGAGAGTATATATGAATATATAAAGTATATTTGAGAATAGAGAGTATATATGAATATATAAAGTATATATGAATATATAAAGTATATATGAGAATATAGAGTATATATGAATATATAAAGTATATATGAATATATAAAGTATATTTGAGAATAGAGAGTATATATGAATATATAAAGTATATATGAATATATAAAGTATATATGAGAATATAGAGTATATATGAATATATAAATTATATAAAATACATATGAAATATATATGAAAATATAGATCAGCAGCAACAGATGAGCTACTGTAGTTCAAACTGCTGAAACAGTGAATGCTGGTTCTGATAGAAAGGGGTCAGAACACAGTGCAGAGCAGTTTGTTGGTGTGGGGCTGCAGAACATTCTGACCACCAGGGTATAAATGATCATTTATTTATTTATACTTATGTCATTTTTTTTGTCCTCCACAGTTCTTGGAATAGGTAATAAAACTCCTAAAAATGTGCCTTGGATGTATCGCTTCCTTTGGCGGGGAGGCCCTTGCCTTCTGGGAAATGCAGTTCCGTAGCCGCTCCCAATGTTCTTTCAACATTTCAGTGACGTTTGTGCAACGTGATAGGCTCTCCTGCGCTGGAAATCTGTTCTACAACAACTTCCGCTTCTTCCCCGTCGCTAGGCGAGTCTAGAAACGTTATTTAAAGGTTTAGGAAGGTTTCCGGGAACGTTTCAACCGGTCACAGTTTGGAAAAACTTCAATGGAGCACGATAATGGAGACACTCGCGACTGGCCGGTGCAGCGACGTGTGGAAGGGTTTGTGAACAAACATATGGCGGACATTGCTCTGGAGAGCCTCCAGCAGAGGCTGTCTGCTGTGTCCGACGAGATGCACAGTCTGGCGGAACATGTCTCCAGACGCTCCGGGGAAGAGTTCAAAGACGAGTCACGGCGAGCGGAGGTGAGCTTCGGTGAGGAGCCGCCGCTCTCCTCCGCCTGCAGCTCCGCAGCCCCGTCCACAGGTAGACCGTTATTTCACTGCCCAGCAACACCTGGAAACAGTCAGAGTATATCGACATGCTCTGTGAGGAAGATGCATAGGAAAGTTCATGTTCGGCATTCAACGAACTATTTTACTTCATAGTGCAAAATGCATCAGTGCATTTAAAGACCCCGTCAGGTGTTAAAACATATATACACATACTCTATTCTGAACAATAATGTGTGTCTGATATTTTTTCCTCTCAAAAAAAGTCTAATTTCCACATTAAAATGCTTAAAAAGTCATCTCCTCCTTCTACCTCATTAAACATTCCAGAGTCTCTGAATATGCAAATGTTGTTCATTTCTAAAGTTTTCCTGCTGGACACAAGATGTCTCCTCCTTCACTGTAAAGTCCATTCTCAGTGGATGTGCACTGGTGGTTTCAAGTTTCTACATCACACTGTACAAGTTGATACTGGACCAGGACTGACTTCCTAACTATTGGTGATGTCACAAATTATGCTGGTAGACCCCGCCCCTTAAAATCAGCTGTTCAGTGAGCACAGAGAAACTTTCCACTTTCAGCAGATGAATGTGAAAACATCCTTCTAGTGTCAAACTCTGCACAGACATCAAACAGCACGCTGTTGAAGTACCGGACCAGGTTTGACTACCAAACTGATCCGGGCTCCGTTTGGGTTCTTACAGAATCTTTCGGGCTCGGGTCGGGCCTGACCAAAGCTTAGTCACCTTACTTGAACCATGATCTTTACCCCATCCTGTCGCGCTCTGCCCCTCTCCTCCGCTTCCTGTCCAGATACTGCTGCCCAGCGGAAGATCATCGCCCTGCTGGTGGAGATCAAAGAGGAGCAGCAGAGGCAGTGGGCGGTGCTGAGGGACCTTCAGGCCAGACTGCAGGCTCAGGCCGGCTACGAGGAGGATGACGTGGAGGCTCTGGACATGGATCTCCCCCTGAGGACCCTCGAGCAGCTGGACGAGATGGAGAGACACCTGGAGGAAACAGGAGTACAGAAGAGAATGGTAGTGAAAGTGGTGCTGTTTACATTAGTGCTGCAACTAAAGATTAAAGATTATTGTCATTATTAATTGAGCTGTTGATCATTTTCCGGATTAATCCATTATTTGTTTACTCCATAACTTCACTGCTCCCTGGTGATGTCATATGCTTTGTTTAGTCCACAACCCAAAGATATTCAGCTTACTGTCAGAGAGGACTAAAGAAACTAAAAATATTCCCATTTAAGGAAGCTGAAATCAGACAATTTGGACCTTTTTTCTTAAAAAATGACCCAAAAACGATTCATTGTTTATCCAAAATAGTTGCTGATTAATTTAATAGCTGACTACTAATGGATTAATCGCCTAATCGTTGCAGCTAATGGATACTCCATCTTGAGCTGCTTACTGTGTGAGTGCTCAGGGCCTGATGTGGAACTGATGTCGATACCTTGTCTGAATTTAAGGTGTCCTACCTGTCACGGATGGGCGGGGCCACGGTCGACGACGCAGTGAGGCGTCTGATGCAGGCCGTGCTTTCGTTCGCTGTTGGCTCTGAGCTCAACTGGGTGGGCCGCGGACAGAAGAGGAGCTTCAGGAACACCCGTCTTCAAGGGGTCCTCTTCCGTAAGTACAGGCGCTGCTTGAACGACCTAATGCAAAAGGAAGCCCCACAGCTGACAGATCTGTGAGCTTTAAGGATAACTAACATAATATTCTGAAGACTAATGCTGTGTTCTCACCAAAGGCAAATAAAGTTACTCAGGCCAGTAGATTACATACAAAGTCAATGCACAGACACAGATAGACGTGTATAAACACAAATTCTCACTGGTTGAAAATATTGAACTCTGAGCGAAGACTTCCTGCATGCCGCGGGGTGTTTGCAGCGTTGTATGAGGAGGGGAGGAGAGACCGAGCTGCTGCTGGCCCACACCCAGAGTCACACCCGATTCTGCTCTGATCTGGAGACAGTTACCGACAAGAGGGGGGCTCAGAGTTTATTTTTGTAAACTTTTGGGATTAAAAAGTGGTTTTACCTTCACTCTGTCTTCTCAACCTGTCTGCTGCGAGCCACAGAGATGCGTCCCCCACTTGTATGTGTCTGCGTCATTGACAGTATGCCAGAATGTCCACTGCTGTGAACAAACGCCATGACAAGACTAAAACCAGTGATTGTATCCTCATAATGTGCATTGTGTGTGTGTGTGTGTGTGTGTGTGTGTGCATCCAAAGCTCTGATATATCTTCTTCCTCTGTGCCATAGAGTTCCACTGTTATCAAAACTGTAGTTTATTTGGACTCAGACCCACCCACACTGTCCCGCTGCCCCGAATACTCACACCAAATGTGGATTAATCCGCGGCTGAAAATAGTCCCCCTGTTTGAGTAACGTTTGCTAAAAACTACAGTGACCAGCTGTTTTAGGAGCCGTTTTTAAAGATTGACGTCCTCATAGGAACCAGTGTGCTCGGAGCTGAGAGCCACAGGAAGTCAGAAAGAAAAGTCAGAAAGCACTCAGAGGCTGACACAGGGTTGGTTTGGCTCTTTTCTTTAAGGGGTTAGTTGACAAACATTTAAATAGAGTATTGCCAGCCTGCTCCTTTAAGAATCTGCTATATGAGCATCCGCTGTGTAGAGCTAATAATCTCCAGCTTCTCCTTCTCAGGCGCTCTGAAACGAACACCGGTGGGGAAGGAGGCCACTCATCACCAGTACGCTGACGTGGTGAAGAAGTGGCTGCGCTTCGCTCCGTTCAGACAGGGAGGGAGCGGCCGTCGCTGCTGCAGACCTCCTGTGGACTTCCCAGACTCTGAGGACACTGACAGTTTTAACCAAAGCTGCACACACTGACATTAATTACCCCGAGACACCTGGCTCTGCCCACATTGTGGACAACCAACACACACACTGTCCACAACACTGGGTGGCAGCATCTGTGCGTCTGCTGGGAGATCTCTCTTCAGTTGCACCGCCACTGAAATATGAACAACTCCCTTAACAGCCGCTAACACGACAGAAATGAAGTCAGCTGAACACACTTCAATAGACACACAGCATTAAAAGACAATCACAGCGACTCATTTCACATCTGCTGGACCCTGTTTCTGACACACACACACACACACACACACACACACACACACACACACCACACCCATCAGCTCCGCCTGCTGCCACTGATCCCAGTTCTTATTATTATCATCATCATTGTTGTTCTTTTTGATATTAATAATGATGATGATGATTGATTATTATTATTACTATTTATATAAACAATATGTGTATTATTATTATCCCACACTCACAATACAAAACAAATGAGTCATATTTCTCCTGTGCATTACATCACCACCTTTACTACATTTATCATGACCTTGCTTTTTGTGTTTTCATTAATGTACCACATTAAGTTCTGCACGTTGTCTTTGTGTATTTTTTTTCTTGTTTATCATTGTTGTATCTGTACAGTCATGTTGTTGAGCTTTTGTTTTTGCACAATAAAAAAACCTGACTGTATGAAAATATTGCTGTTATTATTTTTTTGTTAACACAGCCTCTGTACATTTCTGATATTTTTCCTCCTTCAATGTGCTAAAAGTGCGACCCTCTTTGCACATCAGTCTCCTGGAATGAAACTGCCCACTGTATGGATGAGTATGGAGAGTTTCAGTGCATTCAGTTGTTTTCTTCTGGTACAGCAAGAATATTTTCTCCCTTTTTATTCCCCAGTGCAGCTCTGTAAGTCTACGAGGGTTACTCAAACGTGAGAATCTGCACAGTGGAAGTTCACAGTTTGTACAGTAGGGGGAGACCAAATCAAAGCAATCAGCAATCAGCCCAGCTGATTCCATTTTGGTAGTCAGAGGTCACTGTGACCTCACAAAGCTTTAAACTTTTAAAACTTTTTATAACTTAAGAACTGATAATCATATTTCCCAATTGGTCGATGATGAATTGGGGACACTTTTAAAGGTCAATGTAACCTCAAAATGAGGACCTATTTCTGGCCATGATTTAAGAATGAGTGCTGTGGTTATGACACAATGTCACACAGATATTTAAAGGGATACAATGATGAAGTGGTGATATTTTTTACTCAGCGACTCATGAAACACAGCTAAAAAATGTGTCCTGTCATATACAGTGCCCCTAGAATGCAGCCCCTGCAGCACATTTATGCATGAAAATCTTGGATCCATGCTCCACACCCAACAGGAAGTCAGCCATTTTGATTTTGCACAACGTGTATGTGAGATAAACTGGACTTGCAGCATTCATTTCTTCGCCACATATATTACATTAGTCTAAGGTGACCAGATTTCTGAAATGAAAATCGGGGACATTTTCAATGCGGCGGTGAAAAATCATTAAATATTATCATTATGAAATAAAAAACGGGGACAAGTACTCCCCCGTTCATGTATTTTAACCAGCTTTTATTACACAAGAGATAGAGATAGATAGAGGTAGGGGTGTGGTTACAGAAACTGCACATGGTTGCCAGTTGCCAGTTCACACAAAATAAATAAGTTCATACACAACATACCATTTATCGAGGCCGCTGGTCTCCTTTTCTTTCCTTTTTGCCACCTCTAGATTGTTGTTGTTGACACTGCTGCGTCTGTACGTCATGCGACGTCTTCTCTGGTGATGGGTTAAATGGCTATCGTAATAACTGGTGTTTGAGTCTGCGTGCATTTTTCCCCCATTCAGTGTCAAAATCGGGGGACATTTTTGGGGACAGCTTCACCCAAAATGGGGACTGTCCCCGGAAATCGGGGACGTCTGGTCACCTAACATTAGTCTGGACAGACATGACTGTAAGCTGCAACTTGACTGGTGGTAATTCTAGTTTCCCCTCGCAGCACAAATCAAATGTAAAAATGTACACATGCCAGGAATATTCTTCATTATGTATTCTTTGTGGTGGAATCAAGCCTGGAAGGACAGAAAAAACACAGCAAAAACGTCCTACTTAACTATGTTGCACTGACACTGGCCATGTGTCAACACTGGAAAAAGGCTTGCTTCCTACTTTTTACGGTAAAAAAAATGATTTTCTGTTGGAGGGATAGAAGAACTGGAATTTTTGTTAAATCATTTTTTTTATGGTGGTTAGAAAAAAGAAGGAAGAGAAGTGAGGACAAATTCTCAAACGTTAAACAGGACAGATCCTGGTTTAGCAATCAACACTCACACTGGAAGTTCATCCCCCGGTCATTCCGATCTGAATAGTGACTTGCTTACAAAAGAAAAATTATGACATTTATTATTCATATGGTTACACAGTAGAGAGTTAGCTGCAGATTATTAGACCTTTACACCATTTAAGCACACAGGGAACAACTAGCTTGTCACATGTGCTCAGTTTTGAGTTGTAAATCACAGGTTTGTTTAAGGTTGTGAGAAATGAGTCGCTTTGAAGAAGAGAAAACGTGATGTATACTGGAAAACTGAAGCACATACATGTTGGTTATAGCCTTGTAACGTACACAGCCTTTCTGTGGTACATGTCCTATCATGACAAAAAGGTCTATTCTATGTCCCATATACATGCTTCTGTAAAGGCAGTTCCATGAATGCAGCATGTTTTCTGTGTGTGTGTGTGTGTGTGTGTGTGTGTGTGTGTGTGTCTCTCTTTGAAGTGTCACCTCATGTTACAGTCTTTGCAGAGATCAAGCCGAGTGCAATCCCACTGTACACTGCAAAATTTCAAGTATATTTTTTCTTTTTCTGATATGAATGCTAGGTTTTAAAATAAAATCTGAATGAAATGTGGGTAGCACTTTATCTGAATAGTCCACAGACCGCCAACAGTTTATAGACTATTTGTACCTTAAAGAAAATATTCCCTAACCAACATGTGCCTAAACCTAACCGAACCTTACCCACATATAGATTGAATCACCTGAGCTGCATGCAGAAATGACGGAAATCAGATACAATCATAACAAGTACATAACATACAGCATGTGATAAAATACAATTGTTACTGTTGTTAACAATGCAGAAACAACTTTACAATATATCTGGCAGGGCTGTACACAGGAAACAGCTTTTACTACAGACGCTGCGGGTCAACTTCCATGGAGTCCGCCATGTTTCTACCCAGAACGGACAAATCACACACTGGCTCAAGAAAGCATTTTCTCCTTGGCACATGGAAGGCAACTGCAACTGCACCACACCACTAAATGCCACTAAATCCTACACACTGGACCCTTCAAACTGCCTCCATCTTCCATCACTTTAGGGCCCCAAGGGCCAGCCAGGACATTGTTCCCTAAGCCATACGGGCATTGAACACAGAATGAGCGCTTCAGGGAACAATTTTCTAAGATTTGTTCTCATGTATCATTTATATAACTTCTTGCCTCTAAGTGGGGCCAACCGAAAGGTTCAGACTGAGACTGGGAAGCACAGTGGCTCAGTAGTTAGCACTGTCACCTTACAGCAAGAAGGTGAAGAAGAAGAGTTCGATTCCCGTTTGGAGTTTAAATGTTGGAGTTTGGAGTTGGCCCCAGGCACTGTACAATGGCTGCCCGCTGCTCCCAATACTTAGAATGAGTTAAATGCTGAGGACAAATTTTACTATATTGTAATGTGTGTGATTGTATATGTGACAATAAAAAAAAGAATGAATTAAAAATATATAATAAATAAATTACTTGTTTATGCATTTGTGAGGTAAAATACTCTTTAAATACGAAGGAACCTTAATTATTATTATTTTTTCATAAATTAAGCGTGACAATTAACTTAAATTTGGATCCTAGTACCATTCATCATCTTAACAATACCATACAGTGGTGTTTGCTTTTGTTTTGGGCACCCCTGGCATACTGTCCACTGTATCTTCTGTGCTATGTTATGTGCATTGTATGTATCTTTGCTGTACTTGTGTAGAAGCCAAAGACACGTTTCCATTGAGGTGGACAATAAAGTCAAGTAAAATTCCATTGGCATTTTTTCAGGATGCATTTTGTTTGACAGCTACTTTTTAGAGGAAGTAATCTTAGTGCAAGTGTTGGAATATGTTTTGCTGTGGCATCAGCCATTACTAGGCCTATATCTTCCTTCCATTTCACTGATGGAAACTGTCACTGAAACTTGCATGTTTCATGTTTAGGCTCATTCCTTTGTCATTATTATTGTCTTAAAATGTACTGCTGTCTTATTCTAAGAGCAGCCACTCTTGAGTCATGTTTAATAAGTGTATCTCAGTTTGCTGTGATTGTTATTAGAGCTTTGCAGAGGGACCTATAACATTTACCCAGTCGGGACACGTGATATGAAAGTTAATGCAGAGTTTGTTTTTGTCCATTTGCAGTGCTGTGGGGGAAGGACGCAGCGGCGTCAAGCTGGCCAAAACCTCCGGAAGCAGTGCGGCTCTACCTTTAAATTAAAAGCATGACATTTGACGTTAAAAAAAATCATGGAAGAAATGTTGCTGCATCAAAAATGTTTATGACCATATACATGCATGCTCACGCACATGTACTTTCATACAACTTAATCTGTATGCCATTACTTTGTGTTGTTTTTCCATACTTTCATCACTTAACTGCTTTTTTATTGAAGCTGTCTGACTTTAGTCTAGTGTCTGGTCAGTTAAGTGCAAAAATCTACTGGATTGGTTATCTGAGCTGACTGAGTTCCACTGGTTACTTAAAAATAAATATTGGAAATAAAAGAGTTTGCCTCAGAAAAAAATCTAATCTAATATTTAAAGGTCCATTGTGTAACATTTGGGAGGATCTACAGGCAGACATTTAATATAATATTAATAGGTATGTTTTCATTAGTGTATAATTACCACAATATAAGAATCTTAAAATGAGCCTTTTATATATCTACAGACGCCTTCCACAGAGTGCACCACGTTGAACCGCTATGTTTCTACAGTAGCCCAGAACAGACAAACTAATACTGGCTGTAGAGAGGGGCATTCACATTTTTCATGTCCACCATAGTTTCTGCACTTGAAACTTGTTACAAACCTCTTTTTGGAAAACAGAACAGATACAAAAATGAATTATTATTATGTATTAGTTAAATTTTCAGCAAATATAACAACAGGTCTTTTTATATAAAAGTTACCTACTGCAGCTTTAACAATTTGAAATGCAAATGTAATAATTATAACATTCATAAATCAAGCAGCTTTACAGCAATACATCTTTTATTTTGAAAACGACAAGCGGAAGTCCTTTCTTCCTCTGCCGTGTTTTACACAAAGAGCCCCGCGCAGCCAGCTCACTCCTCAGAAGGGTTTAGGACCATGGGGTCAGCCGGCGCTGGGCACATTCTGCTCACTTGTTTTCCTCACCCGAAACTCTGAGAGATACTTACTATCACACCTCAGAACAACCGAAGCTACCCGACATGGAGCTATAATGCTGCTTACACACACACACACCAACTCTTCGGAGCAGCAAACTTGACTTTTTCCCCGACTGGACTAACGCTCACTCCGCTGTAGGTAAGTAACGTTAACCGTTAAAGTTAGCTCTCCTTTGTGTTGACGTTCCGCTCTGCTGAGACCGTGTTTCTGTCGCCCGTTGCTAACTTCCAAACTCACACTGAGCTCTGTCTACTGTGGAAAGACAAGCTCCCAGACACAGAGTCAATTATTGCACCGTCAATAACAAAGCAGCATCACGCGTGAGGAATCCTGCGGGACGTGTCGTACCACCTGTTGCTCGACGTCAGTGTTGAACCAGCCTGTATGGAACAAACGCACCAATGCTACACATCACATTCATAACGTTACACACAACGTTAGCTCTATGGAAGCCCGCCAATGCCAGTATGAAGGAAAACTCTGTAAGTCATTATAATGAGAAACTTAGCAAGTGGTACTAAAAACATTATTTTGAGATGCTAAGTCAAATTATTGAGAAAGTTTCTCATTATTTTCAGAATCAGAAATATTCATTGATCCCGGGGGGAAATGGTGCTCACAAGACATTAAAGAAACAGAAATAATAACAAGAACGGTAAAAAAAAAAAAAAAAAAAGTATTATAAGGTATTATATTACAACATAACAACAACATATATAGAAAACTATATAGAAAAATATAATAAGCGCCTGAAGATAGAAATATATATTTGCTTCAGTATATGACAGACAGAAGTGTAATGAATAATGAATAAATAGTAATAATAGCTGAATACCTAAAGCATTGCAATATTGGCGACAGAATAATTGTAAGTGTTGAGTATTGTAAATAGTATTGCACATTAACCACAGTAACATTTCAGTACATCCTCTGCTGGGCCTTAATGATGATTATGTCGATGTGTGTGTGTGTGTGTGTGTGTGTGTGTGTGTGTGTGTGTGTGTATGTGGTCCTGGATGAGGCTAATGATTGTTGTGTTGTTCTGTCTGCAAACCTCAGAAGTTTAATAGATGGGTCTCCTGAGGTGCATTCGTTTGTGTCGAGGGAGAAGAGCAGTGGGGAGAGCACACATCCCTGAGGGGTACCGTGCTGATTGTCTGGTTGCTGAATGTGATTCCCCCCCCCCCCAACCCCCGGGCCTCACCTGCTGCCTCCTGTTAGTGATCCACTGACAGGTGGAGTCTGGCACAGTGAGATTGGAGTGGAGGATTTCTGGGATGATTGTGTTGAAGTCCACAAACAGGATCCAGTGACCTGTTTTCCCAGTAGGCACATGGCAGGGGGTCCAGCAGGGGGTCTTTAATATCCTTCAGGTGGGCCAAAGCAGCCCTGTAATTCCAGCTTTGCCTCGTCAGTCAATCTCCTCACAGTCTCGACCACAGGCTGAACTGATTGTGGAATCTGTAGAAGAGTGGTTCCCAACCTTTTTCCAATGAACCCAAACAGTGAACTCAGCAACTGGAAGAAGTTTGTGTGAATCGGATAAATCAGATTATTTCCTGTTTAGGGAACTTTTTATACAATTGTCTTTCTGTATTACGTATTTCTTTTGGGTCATTTTTAACAATCATACAGACTTAATAGTAAAATTCTGTGTTTTCTTGTCCCTGATGCTTGGCCAACGTTCCATAAACAACTTACTTCACTGTGACTTTTCTACTCAGAAGTGAAGTGAAGAGGTATAGGCCTACTGTGTATATTTTTGAAGTTTTCTATCTTAAAGTAGTAGTGTAGTGTGGGAGTCCCGTCTGCCCTAGAGCATTGGTTGTGATTTAAGATTTCTTTTGGCAATTGGGCATGTAAATAATACACAACCGACATAAAAGGCCACCGAGAGTATACTCAGTGTGCTTTAAGTCATTTGAATCCAGTCTCTCAATATCTTGCAGCCCATTATAAGCAGTTTGTTACTGGCCGATACGCTCATTAAATGGACCGATTTATTAATTGAGTTTGGTGTGTACTTTAGAAATACTGTGTGAACAACCTTTCAGACAGAACCCATGTTGAGTTATCAGTGAGAGATGTGATCAAGAAACATCCTTCCATTAGAGCCAGTACTGTACAGCGCTGTTGACAGCAGTATGATGAGGATTAATGATTGGTGGGAATAAATTAGACTTTAACGCTTTAGCATTTTTATTGGAAATTAGCTTCAATAACCATAAATAAACAACCAAATCACCATGTCAAGAGAACAAATTGAGCGTATCCCCCTAACTCTCACAGCCTGGAGCATCTGCTCATATGTGAGCAATGTGATATTTCAGCTCAGCCCAGAAACCCTCTTGTCTGCAGTGACGTTCTAGAGCAGGAGACTCAAGACTCGGCTTTCTTTGGCCCCCCAAGTGTTTCCAGCTCACAGGCTGGTGTGTCATCTATTGTTTGCATGGTAATTAGACTGCTGTTTAGAAGTTGCTGCCAGGCGTTTGCAAGGTTCTCGGGCCGTAACCCTACCTATCATCGCCAGCCTCTCACATCATATCACCTTTCCCCGCAGAAGCATGAAAAAGTATTTTTCCTGCTACCATGGTTTTTCCAATCTCCTCAAAAATCTGCTAATGTGCTTAGCGCTCAGTGTCGGGACCAAATCGGACCAGCACTGTAGTCTACCTCAAACCTGAGTCACAGGTCAGGAATTCACAAAGAACGCTGAAAACTATTAAATAACAGTCCCCGCTCACAGCAGCCCCAGTAATAACGTGGAATTGCATGCAAATGAGCTCTTATACAAGTTGGTCTTGTCATTCAGATCGGCTTTTCAAAGTAAAATGTCCCCTTTACTCTGATCTGAATACAAGCCCTCAAGTGCAGCAATATGTGTCACCATTTTCTACCAGCGCCACAGACATTCAATTTCAAGTTGTTTTATTGTTTTTCTTGGATCTCAGAATCCCTCTAACTGTGATCTTACAAATATATATGGAAAATTATACATTATATATATATATATATATATTTATAACAAAATCTAGTTGGAAACTAAGACACGAAATAGCAAATAAATATGTGTATAACAGAAAATAAATATAATACTGTGGTAGCTGGTGAGTAATATTAAAATGCACTGTAATAGTAGAATATATACCTAATTAGAACAAGATGCATATGAATAATGTGTTACAGTGATAAGTAACCCACTTATGTGGTAGCGAATAAATATACTGTGATCTGTGTACATATAAACTGTAACTGAAGTGTGTTGTAGCTATCGGTATCGGGAATAATAAAATACAGTGCTGATGGGAATTCCAGCTCTTTTTAGCATTTTTGACTCCTTCATTTAGTACCACTTCTGGTTATAATTCAGCCAAATTTAGCAATGTAAAATAGAGTTTTTGGGGGGGCTTTTATTGCCTTTAATCAATAGTGACAGCTGTAGAGTGACAGGACAGGGGGAGAGAGACGGCCACAGGTCAGAGTTTAACCCTGCAGCAAGGACTCGGCCTTGGTACCAAGTGAGCTACAAGTGCGCTCCCAAATTTAGCAATGTTTGGGTGGATGGTTTTAGATTGGATTTGCTACAAAGGGGAGCAGCCACACTGACACAGCTGCCAGCAGGTGTGTGTGCAGACATTTCTGTGTTTATTGGCCTCCTGAGCACAGACATCGGCTGCTGCCAATTATCTTAAAATGCCAGATAATCGTCTGTCTGTATTCCTCATATAACCACCTCACTTGTGTGCTTTCTCCTGTCTTCTGTTTTACTTACAGATCAAAACCTCATTTCTTTCTACTTGTTTTCTGATTCTCTCTCTTTTGTAGCGTTTTGTCAACAGAGCTGAACAGAAGCTCCCTCTCTCTGTAGTTATTGAATGAATGTAGCAGAAACACAGTTGTTTCCCCAAATGTGTGTTTAAGGCAAAAATCTATGTAATTCAGCTGTACAACACAAGTTATACAGCGTACAGTAGGGGTAAAAAACCTGGAGGTTTGAGTGTGGCTCTATAAGCCTATCTTTCAATTAAAGCTGCAGAATATCCCTATCTGGCCAGCAGCCGTCATTCCTGTCGGGAGCTGGCAGCGGTTCTACCACAACAAAACCATTAACAGGTTGTAAAGCTTTATTCCTTTACCTGTTAAACTCCACACACAGACTGGCCTGTACTGCCAATATGGAGCTAAAAAAGTTATTACTGAGTCATGAAGTTAAGGCTGTGTTGAAGGGAACCAGTTTACTTACAGGTTAAGTGGCTAATGGGGTTAAATGTGAGGAGTATTTTGAGTCGTACTTTAGACTGATTTTCAGGGAGGTAGGGTATCCACCATGTGTAGTTCAGCACTTTTATTGAGGAGGTGTAGGTTTTGGCACAGAGTGCAGGGTGTGAGTGTGGGTGTAATGTGCAGGGCGAGATAGCTGCGGCTACAGAGAACTCCCTCTCTTGTCAGTCAAGATGTGTGTTTGGTTTTCCACAGAATAAAACTCTGTTTGCCCTGTGGAGCAGAGACACACCCACCCAGCGTAAGGGGAAAATGGAATGCGTTTGACACACTTTTAGGAGCTAAACTTAGGAACTTTATGTGGAAGAAGCTAAATGGCTGCAATCATATCCCCCAGTTAAACCACGACCCACAGGAAATCCCATCAGACGGCGGAGAGGTGCTCAGGAATGGTGGATGTTGACAGGAGGCTCAGGAGGTTCATTCCCAGAGACAGTGTTCAGAGCTGCTGTTTCCAGCCTGGATGTTTGATTTTAGGGGCCAGTATAGTCAGTCAGAGGGTATAGTGTGGAACAACCAACATACAACCTAGTTCTGAAATATCCAGATTCACAGTACAAGTGGGGGTCTTATAGCGTCATTGCATTTGCTCTAATCCCACTGGTTTGTGCTACCATCATTTCGTTTGTATTATATCATTCAGCCTACATCACTACTTATTAAAGGATTGAACACAATTTATTAAAGGCATACTAGGTAGAATATTCCTAAAAAACACTGTAGACTCAAAAATCATAATCCCTGCAGCCCTCTGCCTGTGTTTTCTTCTTTTGTGCCGCGGGGGACGTTTCTGGGTGTCAACCTTAGGGCAGTGTGCAGGGTCTGAGGTTGGTACCGGATAAAAATAAACAAGCGGA